GGATACCGTCGGATACCGTCGGAGCGTCGGACCGGCCGAGCTGATTTTGGTGGCGAAAAAGATCGTAGGCTCTCGTCTCCCATGAAGTCCGTGGAGCCAAGTCTTTCGGCCTGGGCCGGCCGTTTCAAGGTCTTTGGGCTTTGGTTTTCCATTTTGGGTGCATATGTGGTCAAGGCCAAGAAGTCTTGCCAAATAAAAGCTCGCGCCCTCGCTTCCATGTGCTGGGAGGGTAGGCATGTTTATTTTTCTGGCAGGGCCATGGCGTGCGGAGGTGGCAGCTATGTTTTTGCAGGAGGCATCGCACCACATGCGATAATGGCAAGAGCTAACTTGGTGGTTCCTAGCCATCCAACCGTTTAGCGGTTAGGTTTCCATCTAACCCACTAAACGTTATTCACTTTGAGCGAGGGATCTGAAACGGACAGCCTGGTTAGGCCAGATGATGACTGTCGAGGAGGACCAGGAGGTGATCACTGAAGGTTGGCTCAAGAAGCGGGGGCCCATGGTGGGCTACAAGTGGGCCAAGCGCTGGTGCGTGCTGCACCCGAGGAATGGCTTGGGCTTTTCAAAATCGGGGGACCCCACACAAAATCGGATTTCGGTTTCAACTAGCACGGAAGAGCACAGACCCGTGTAGCAAGATTACCTTCCTCTTGGCAACAGGCTTTGCGCAGTTCCATGTTAGTTGGTGGTAGGGTAGTTCCCCTTTGCTTTTCAACCCCAAAAAGGGGACTAATTTCAAGTTCCAAACCTCCAATCGCTGGTTTGGATGGTTTGAAGGTTGGTTCAACAGGAGCTGGGGTTAAATTCGTAAACACCAATTCAAAGCACTATTAGCACTGTGGACCGTGGATGCCCGAATGAATACAAGGGACAGCGTGCTTCGAGTTCTGGGTTGCAAGAAAGAGGGGGAGGGTGACCAAAAACGACAAAGCAGAGTCTTCCATTGCTTTCTTGTTTTCAGAAGAAGGTTTTTGTCATAGGACCCCCAACAGCCATTTGGAGCCTTGTTGATGGAACACTGGTGGGTTGGACTTGGCCTTGAACTTGCCAACACGTACTTCATTTAGCACTGCGCTGAACGTAGCATTGCCAAAACTGAATCTCAGATTCCCACTGCTTGTTCAGTATTGGCAATTTTCAGTTCCGTATTGACAAGACTTAGATCTTCTATTTCCAATACTCATTTTAGTATTGCCTTTCGCCGCCTGTGGATGGGCTTACATGGACTCCATGAAAGGCAAAGGCTCTGGCTTTGATTTCGCAATATGGTCTCACCCCCTTCCAAAACATGCTTGCCATAAAAGAGGACCCCAAAACAGTCAGATTAAAGAGGAGCAGGGCCTTGTGGGGCACCCCCACTGTTTGGCCTTGTTTCTTTAGAAGGGTCCATGCATGCAAATGATGGTTTGCGGAGGGAAGGACTTAGGTAAACCACCCCTGGTATTTCTTGTTTTGTGTTTTGCCTGGGTTTTCCTTCGGGTGAAACCTGTCTGTAGTAGTTGAGGGCCCCAAAATCGTCCTAGGATCCTGAAGTAGGAGTGCACGTTCTAGGCGCCCCGTCAATCATAGCGGGTCCAACATTACTTGCCAAATCAAGTCCTGGCATGAAAGTGTCCTAATGCATAGATCCAAAGTAGTGAATTTCCGCATTGTCCCTTTTCCCTTCTACCCGGCGTTTGATCCCAGACGCCCCTTTTCCAATGAAGGCTTGTTAAAGGTAGGGGGCCCTTTCTGTTATCCCTTCTTGAAACGGCGGCAAAAAGCGCACCAGCAGGTCCCAACAAAGGGGCTGGCCATTTTTCTCGACCAACCCCCCCTCCCCAATGGCATGGCCGTGGCATCGGCCAGCGGGCAGGAAGCTGAGCTACTTCGAGGATCAGACGTTGTCGGTGAAGAAGGGGGACATCCACCTCCGGCCCGGGGCTGCAGCCTTGGCCTTTCAGCGCAGCGGTGCGCCGGGGGATGCCATCAAGCACAAGAAGGCGGGGAAGCTTTCGGGGCACGGACGGCCAAGAAGGGGCCAAGAACATGGATCTGAAAAAAGGTGGGAGATACCAGCTGAAACTAAGGTTGGGTGGAAAAATGGCTGGGGGTCTTCAAGGGAGGAACTTTTGGAGAATGTGCAGTGTTTCAAGCCAAGCCTTTCCTTTCAGGAAGTGTTGGGACTGGATGCTATTCGCCCTGTTTTCTCGACCAACCTTTTTTTGGCCCACAAAGAAAAAGGGCCAAGGCAGGTCAAAACCAGGTTCACTGTCTGAGAATAGGACTAACTTACTCCTGAACTTGACTATTTAGGAAGACCATTTTAGCAGCAAACATCAAGGCAGGGTGTGGTTGTTTTGAAAGCTCCAAAAGGGAACGCATGATTTTACATGTTGTTCAATACTTTCTTTTTAGGACCTGACCACAACCCCAAAAGAGCAATCTTAGTATGTGGCTTTAGCTGGCTTCATGGGGGATGGGGGTTACAGTAAGGCAGGCCAGCATAAACCCTGGCAACAATGTGTGTGTGTAGAACTCATCGTCAGTGGGTAAAACAGGACCTACCTGACGAGTGCCCACGAGGGAAAAACAAATCGGTGATTTTCCTTTACTTACACCACGAGCTGCTGCACTTTGAACTTTTTCAGGTTTGGACCGTTTGAGTGGTAAGACACATGAATGACTTGCTTTGGCGAATCCGCTCAGGAAGTGTGTGCAGGTACCCTCAAATCACAAGCACGCAAACACACAGACAGACACACAGAGACACACTTTTACACTTACACTTACACTAACGCTTACACACACTTACACACGCACACACACACACACTCCTACACACACACACACACGCACACACACACACTTACACACACACACTTACACACACACTTACACACACACACTTACACACACACACTTACACACCTTACACACACACATACTTACACACCCATACTTACCCACACACACACACTTACACACACAGAGACACACAGAGAGACACACAGACACGCAGACACACACACACAGACACAGACACACAGACACACACAGACACACACACACACACAGACACACACACAGACAGACACACACACACACACAGACACACACAGACACACACAGACACACACACACAGACACACACACACACACACACACCCAGACACACACACACACAGACAGACACACACACACACAGACACACACACACACACAGACACACACACACACACAGACACACACAGACACACACAGACACACACAGACACACACAGACACACACACACAGACACACACACAGACACACACACAGACACACACAGACACACACAGACACAGACACACACAGACACACACAGACACACACACACAGACACACACAGACAAACACACACAGACACACACACAGACACACACAGACACACGCACACAGACACACACAGACACACACAGACACACACACACAGACACACACAGACACACAGAGACACACAGACACACAGACACACAGACACACACACAAGCTTTTGTGCAGCGCTCAAAACCCTTAATTGGCTAATATTTGGCTAGTGTCTCACTTGGTTCTACTACCCGGTCAGTTCAAGTCAGAATAAAGCGTACATAACCCTGTACAACCATCGTGGTCCCAAATTTCAATAGGTGAACTGGGCGCTGCTCGGTGGGGTACAGAGTATATAGGTGGCACCATCCTCTTACATGCCCACGCAGAAGGAATTTCTTAGTTGCCACCTACGCGGGGAAATGCATGTTTTGAGAAACAGAAACCGTGTGTTTTCCAAGAGAAGCCCAGAATTGGTTTCATCCAGCCGGACCGACAAACCGCCATGAGGAGTGCCCACATGGCTTCGTCTTAGATCTGGACCCCGGCAGCGGCCGGGACCGGCACCTGTTCTACTTCGACGCGGGCAGCTCTGAGGATCTGCAGCGATGGCTGCAAGCGGTGCCAAGGGCCACCATGAAGTCCATGATTTCCTGGATCCAGGAAATCTGAGCGTGTCTTGGATTCAGCTTACTTGCATGTAGTTACTATTGTAGTTGTTGCGTTACCCGTTGTTAGACTGGGCTTGAGGTATTTGCAGGTGCAACTTGAGCTTTGCCAACCAATTTTTTGGCGCATTGATTACATGAGGTTCGGTCTAAATGTCTGGCCCATTTGGGAGGGACATTGTGAATCACGTCCAGCAGCCTATGGTCCATTTAGGGAGTACAAGGGGACTCAGACAACTTTCCCACAAACACTGGGGGGCCAAGCTCAAAATGCCCCATGTCCTCTTGTGGAAACAAGAAGTTTGGACCGTTCCTCGCATGGGGCTTTCCGGCCCTCTCCTGGACGATGTCCAAGACAACTGCAGCCAGGAAATCGCAAGACGGAAAAGCGGCACGCATTCTTCTGGTCTTCTGATTGAACGGGAATTCCAAATGCACAAAAATGGTCCCCTTGGCCAAGGATGTTGCTGAGATGCCCACCTTCTCTAAGAAGAGAATAAGCTCAGGGTGACCGGTTTGCGGGGTGTATATAGGCAACGTGATCATTCCTTCCCTGAACTGAAGAATAGGCTGGGGGAATTTCTTCGCCTGTTCCGCTGGTTCAAAAGCGTCCTTTAGACAAGTCGAACTGGGGGATCTCAATCTTAGTCCGGCATCCTTTGAAGGGAAACCTAAAGGAGACCACTCATTTGGAAGAAGTGAGATGATGGTTGCAACATGGGGGAAATCGATTGTCTTCCATCCATCTTCCATGCTTGCGGGAAAGCTTTCTGGGTTTCATCAAGGAATGAGGGAATGCCCCTGCAGACTATCCCTTTCAGTGTCCTTTCTGAGGATCCATTCATTCATTCCTTAGACCCACTGAGTTTTCGTCGAATTTCAACTTTGCATTTGTTGTAGCAGATGGCTTTTGGAGTGTTTTCAGTTATTTTCTGCCCTGTTATGTTTCTTGAAGAGGACATGTGTCACCAGCCAGAGCGTCAGCGGAATGTTTTGTCCAGGTGCGCCGCTCCTGTGGGAACCGCCTAGTGTCAGCTGACAGCGCCTTAAGCCGCCGCTGAGCTGCAGGTCAAGCTGCCCTCGGACGCAAGACCCCAGAAGGGCAACTTGAGTGGCTGGGCGTTTTGGAGTTCTCGGTTCGCCTTGATATCTCGGATATGTGTGTTCGGCTGTTTGGGGCAGAGTAAACGAGCTCCTGACGAGATCACACATGAAGGGCCCTTTCGGGATTCGCTGTACAGTTTGGGGAAGCCTGGGGCGGTGGTTGGCTATCAGGTTTGACTGAGTGCCGAACTGTCTGCTAGTTCCAGGGCGTTTCCCTGTTGCAATGCCAACGTTTTGTTTGGCCAGTCGGGCATCAACTGTTTTGTCGATGGTGCGATGTTTGTCATGCGGGCGTAGTGACGTGTGCTTTGGGCTGTCCACCTGACCGATTCTTGTGGCCGGGATTTGGGACCACTGTCCATGACGAGTTTCCCAAAGTTTGAGCTGCCCACTGCCCTACCTTCAGGAGAACCATGCAGCAACCCTCAAAGGTCGCAGGTTTCGATCGCTCGAGTCTGAGGATACTACCGGGCGTATGGGAACCACTACTGTCCCGTGCAAGTGGCCTCCAGGCTGCAACCAAATTCCCCCATGTCATGTTCCACCTAGGCCTCATAATGCTGGGTTTGTTTTCATTCCCCTAGTTCCTGTACAGGGAGGGGGTCCTTTTAAAGCAATTTCAATGGTTTCCCTTGGTGTTCAGACGGGAGCACAAGGTTATATCAACCTCGGATTAATGTGGGGGACCATACCTCCGGATTAATCCGATGCTGACAGTATTGGCACATGTGGCCCTCATTGTCACTTAAGAGCAGGTTTGCAACACATGACATGGTAAATGTTGGTGATTATTTGTCTACCTGAAAACCGCAGGCTTGCCTTGGCCATCCCCAATGAACCTTCGGCTCAGAGCAAGCACTCTTTGTTTTCAGGGGGTGATACTTGTTTCATAGCCCCGCCCGTGTCTCAAAAAAGTGTTTAGATCATGTTAGCACCTGGCCAAACAAAGGAGGTACTTGCCACATGAAACCAGACGTTTCAAAGTATGCCCTTAAACAAGTGAACAAGTGAGCAGTCGGGCTAGGTTTTGATTTGAGGGACTCCGACTGAAACCTTTTGGGAGGGCTGGAGGGTTTCGTTTTAAAATCGCCCAAACAAAGGGTGCCTTTTTTCTTGTGGCCACTGAGGGTCTGGGAATGAGTCCTTGTGTTTGGAGGGGTAGCCTTTTGGAGCCAGAATCTAAACCTGGGTGAGTGAAGCTTGAGCTATAGCCATACTGTATCATACTGTGGATAGGAAATCCTGCAATATTGGTTCCCTGTAAATACCAGCGAACAATGGTTTCCCATGCTTTCGAAGTGGTGCAGGATTTCGTCCATCGTAGCTGCTTTGGGTAGACCATTTGGGCGCTGGTGGGTAGACCATATCAAGGACTTCCCCCGCACCCCAACGGACCGGTGAGCACCTTATGTAGGACCATGGCTTTCCCGGCTAGGTAGCGCCAAGTTCACAGCCCCCCCCCACCCCCGCCTGTGGTAGTTAAAGATACAAACAGCCATTGTGGGGGCACCACTAGTTTGAGAAACGCGCACCAGTAAAACGCTTTTCCAGAAACAAACTGGACATTTTTCCAGGAAATCCACCCAGCCCTCTTCTTTTGGGTCTTTGGCCAACTTCCGATTTTCATGGTTTTGCTCAGACTTTGGGTCCCTGCGAAACGCCTCAGTTTTGTTCCATCGCTTTTTTATCAAGGCGGCTGAGCGGAAAGGAGCTTGCCGAAGGACCGTGGCAAAGCAGTGCGCGGGCCAGGCAGAAGTCTACTGTGGGATCTTCGTTTGGGGGGAGCTTCTTTGGATCATGGCTGGGGGGGCAAAAAAGGCCTGAGTTAAGGCCTTTTTTACGGCCTCCCCACCCAGCCTCAATTCTTGCTCATTGGAGGAATCTTTTGTGGAGGAATCTTCGGAGGAATCTTCTTCCGGGGGATGAATGGGGACTTGGGTACGCTGCAGGTGCATATCCGAAAGCACACCCAGTCCTGCTTCACTGTTCGAACCGCATTTTGTGTAGTGTTTAGTTTTTTTGTGTCTCTTCACGCGGACCGAAGAGGAAAGACAGTTCTAAGATTTGAGAAGGTGGCACTGATATGCCCTTGACATCCAATAGCAGGGTGTAAATGTGGACAATCATCCCGACAACAGTAACGCTGTTAAGTTTAGCATGCGCTTCATCGATGCTGTGAAGTGTTGTGAACATGCAGAGAACCATGGCACACGATAGTGTACTCTCAAAAAAGCGATGCTCCTAAAATATTTCTGGCTAACTATGAAAGAGAACCTGAGAGTGTCAAAGATGGAACTTGGGAGGTGCCTCCTTGGAGAATTGCATCTGACTCCCGTTCCTACTGTGATACTTTCGTGTTTGGACCATTTTAGTGGCAAAGAAAACATGGGTCGTGGGTTGGATCTTGAACCCTGAGCTGGACTCCACCAACCAGAATTTGCGTTAAGAATAACGGGGGCAATAGCCAAGAAAAGGTTGGCTTTTTGTTGGCCAATCCACTCGGAAGTGAGTACTGCCATCGATCCTTTTACCCAGCTAGGGCTCTGGGTTGGTGTCCACTACCCGCCAGGGGCAAACGAGCAGCGTTTTTTAATCAAATGAAAGGGTTTATACAAAAAGGGAACTGCATGTACTTTGCGGAGTCAATCCTGGTTGGGGGCGTAGGCTCGCGTAGGCTTCAGCGCGTAGGCTGTTGTGTCACCCCTCGCGTAGGCTTTTCGCGTAGGCGTTTGTTGAACAAATCATGACTCAGTGCTGTTTGCCAAGTATAAATGAATTTGCTTCTTTTGCCTTCCTTCTGTTTGTTCTGCAGTCTTCGCGTAGGCTCCGCGTAGGCCCCGCGTAGGCATTCGCGTAGGCTTTCAAGGCATTTTGGGTACGTAGACCTTTTCTGGCATCGAGATTCTTGGACAGATGCGGGGCTTCTCACTTGCACTGCAATTCTGATCTTAGAGCCGGAGCTGCCAAAACTGCACTTGTACTGAAAAGTTGCGATTTCCCAGCTGGAGCTGCCACAGTGCACTCCGACACTTGAACTCAACATTTGCCCGCGTAGGCATTCGCGTAGGCACCTGGAAGCTGACTTGTGCTCGCGTAGGCGCCCCTCGCAGGCCGCGTAGGTTTGCGTAGGCCTTCGCGTAGGCATGCAAGTAGCGTATAGGCCTCGAACCACCAAAAAAACACTTTAAACGGGGGAAATCTGGTACGCGTCAAAGTTCAACCGCCAGGGGACCCCAGGTTGAGCCCTTCTCTTCTCATTTACCTAGGGCAAGCCATGTTGGGATTTCTATGTTTGATCCAACCCAAATAGCCTCCCACCCTGCCTAGTGGTTATATCTCCCAACCGCTTTCGGCGTGGAACTCGAGTGCCAGGCCTCTCGGCTGCGTGGGGGACAGCTGACACCTGTGCCGAGTGAACCAAATCCTTACGAGGCACGACGTCGTACGGGCTCCCTTGGTTCCCCATTCGTAACAACACTACAGGAAACGCAACTTGCTTTCAATGAGCAGGAGGGTATGTTTTTGTTGGCCCCCTGGAAGAAAACTTGAGTTGTAATGCATAAAGTTGTGTTCCGGGGCTACGCGAGTGGGATTCATACCGTGACGGGGACACACGGTGCAATAGTTGTCTATCCACAGTACTGGGTGTCAAATAAGGGTTTCGGAAAATAAAACAGCATCCCGTCCCCTTTTGGGTTCTCTTTGGGCACATTCGAGAATTGTGGGCCAGTCGGCACCCAAAGTATGTAGATGATAACTTTCCACGCAGCACACGATGGGGAACAACCTTAAAACAGCCCGACCAAAGCATCTCGCTTTACAGGGGCCCAAATTACAACCAAGAGTGCAATTTGCCTTCTACAAATGAGGTGCTTGTTTTCGCATTTTCGAATGGGCAGTTCTGTTTCCTAGTGAACACCGATTTGTGTAGTCCACTCCATTACCTGGGCACATTGCCACGGGATCACCCATGATGAAGGTCCTTCACTTGAGGATTCCTTCGTTGCGGTTTGTTGATTCAAGTACCCCGAAAAACTCACACGCACTCCCTCCCAAAAAGTTTGTATGCGAAGAGGAAATTCCATTTGGGGAATCAGACCCCTTCGGGTTCCACGTGAATCTGGGGGTGTAATTTCGCCTGATCCCCGCGACTTGCCAGGCCTCGGCAAAAAGAAAAGCGGGTCGTCTGATAAGCGAAGCGAACGCCGAGGAGTGGAGTGCGCGACTGGCGTTGGGGTTTCGACAACCCAGTTCATGCGGGCATCATTTTTTGGTGTGCCCAGTTGGGCCAAGAAGATGGGTGGCGATCGAAGATCTCCATTTACTCAGTCCCTCAGTTCCTGACTTTGTACAGTTTGTGAAAACCATTTTAGTGATTGCAACTGTGTTGGCCAATGCGGGGATTCGCCTGCACACAAGAGGCACCATTCAAAGTACCAGTGCCGAAGGGCTCACTCAAGTGAGTTCTGCTTAGCGTACTGACTCAGGGGTAAATCAAGCTCACTATGATCCAAAATGACCATGGGTAACCTTTCCCCAGGAAGTATCATTGCTTTCGTGGTTTCTTTCAATGGTCAGTAAAGCATATTTGCGGGTTTTGGAATTGAGTGTGGAATTTGCAGATGGTTGAGGCTTGCCAGAATGCAAAGCACAAAACCCGGGGCCCGGCTTGCGAGACTTGCCAGCTTGCTGCAGTAAGAATGGATTTCTCGGTCCTACGTTGGCCCTCAATCCTTCCAGTTGAAGGTTAATTTCCGTGTTGAAACCTTTTCCTGGTGATGGTAAAAGGGAGGCACATGTTGAATGCTTTGTTTCGGGGCGAGGCATCGGGAGGTACAAGGAAGCCAGCTTCTCAGACCTGTTTTCCTTGAGAGCGCGGTAGGAGCTGTGACGCGGCCATGGCCCACCTTCACGAGGACTGACAGGGGGTACTTCTGTAAGCCCGATTCGAACAATCGTTTTTCAGGTACCCTCTGGTGCCTTTTGCTTGTGGGAGGGAGGGTATAGGCAAAGATGTTTGGTTTCTTCATCACGTCGAAGAACCGTGGATAATCTCTTGAGGCCTTGCCCAAAAGCCAGTTGGGACTCCAGTCATGCACGGCTCGGCAACCCGAATATGTGCGGGTATGGGTTGATTCGATTCCTTGCCCAAGTCCCCGCTTTCAAGGTCAACCTTGTTTTCCAGGGGCGAGCTCTTCGTACTTGCTTGACGTTAAAACTGGAAATCTGACTGAAGCCCTAAAGTCACTTCCGATAATCGCCCCAAGCTTGCCGAAGGCTGTGTAAAGGCGTAAGAGGTGTTGTTTTGGGACTCACATTGAGTTGCACGATGTTGCGCGCTGTGTGATGCAATGCTTCCAGCATTTGCATTTTCATCGCAGTGATTCCATTCACCTGTAAAGTGGGTAACCAGGGAACCACCCTACGATCTAAAAGGAGCATGGCTGGTTGCCTACGTTTGTGGTAGCTGCGTTCCGCTAGGCTTCGTGCACTGTCGCACCTTGTGGATTTTCCGGGCGTTTAATAGCCCAAAGGGAGCTGGGCATTGTGTACACTTATTCAGCACCCAGTTGTGCCGACAGACCCTGGAGGTCCTTGGCACACTGACGTGCGCTGGCTTGACGAATTTGCGTCGGAAGAGCAAAAAAGAGGAGCGCTGGAGGCGCTGTAGTTTTGAAAGTTGCTTAGTGGAAAACAAGAAGTCCTTCCCTTTATGTTTGCTGGGTTCCCTCTGAAAATGTTCAGCCCCAAAAATAGGTTCCAATTCTTTCGCCAGAGCTACTCAACACCTGAGTTTTGGCTGCCTTGAAGGGGCTGATTTGAACACATTGGGAAGGCCATCTTCGCAAGTGAGTTTCCCTTTCGTATGTGTAAAGGGACATTCAGGAACTTGGTGTCCCTCACGTGCCCCACAAGCCCCTGCAGTTCTCTCATGCACATATCAAGCCTTTGTAGTGAGTCGCCTCCTGGCTTTCACTTACGCTGCTCGAAGCCATTTCCCTTTCTAAAGATGGATTCCCCAATTTTTGTTCACGCATCGTTCTTGTGTGAAGCTACTGGAATCTGGGAAAGGGGGGAAGCGGGGTTGGGCAATTGCCTGAAAAATAGTAAAGAGGGATCTGTGGAAGAGTGCGGAGCCATTGACACACATCGAGCGATGACGTCAAACATCGGAACTAAAACCGAGTGGGAGAGTTTCCGTCATCAATCAGTGGGTTTCGGGCTGCTTTTTGCCAGCATATAATTTTCAAAAACATAGATAGGCACGGAAACACATTGGGTGTGTCTCAAGTGGAGTTTTCCCATTTCGAGACACATTGAAATGTTTTCGCGGTTGCAGTGAGAGCCGAGGTGTCAGCTTCATGGTGAAGCAAGGCTGGGAACAACTGAAGGTTCGGGATGCGAGTTGATCGGAGCATGGGACAATATTCCCGTAGGTTGTTCCCTTGGCTCAGTTGTTCCCCTTTCTTTTTGGTGGCGGCCCCACTAAAAATGGTCTGCCCCAAAAAGGGTTCCCTTTTTTCTCCAGGGTCACTGAACAACTGAGCTCAAGGTTCGGGAATGCGAGTTGCTTGGAGCATGGGACAAAAATAGGTACCTAAACTGGGACCCTGCTAAATTGAACAGTAGACTAAAACCTGCGGTCCCCGGGTGACTTAATTTTGACCCATACCCATTTGAGCATGGGACAGTATTCCCGGTAGGTTGTGCCATTGGAAGGACCTGGGGCCACCCAATGGAACCAACGAGGTCTCACCCTTGAATGATATCCAGCAAGGGGCACCCCTGGGTCAAGTATGGCAGCACGTCCCTGCAAGAGAAAATTGATCTTCCAGGTGCCCTGAAGGGTAATCCAGACCTCCCATATGACCAAGTTGCAGGGATGGATTCTCGGATGCACCATGCAGTTGTTCAGGATACTTGGTTCCAGGCGCACTGAACAACTGGTACAGTGCTGCAAGGGTTGCAGATGCCTTCATTGTCCGAGGGGTGAAAGTGAACAGCGAGCTTCCCCAATGCAAATGCTGTTTTGGAACCCAACCCCAAAGAGCTTCCTCGAAACATGAGTTTGAAAGCCAAGCAGGGTTCTATGAATTCGTTTCTTGGGTTTCAAAAGAACGCCCAGAGTGCCATCGCTTGCTTGGCTCATAGCGCCATAACTTGAGATAAGGGTTCCTTAGACACAGGCTTTGTATGGCCAAAAGCCCATGGGCCTCCATGAAGCAGTAGTTAGTTGTTAATTGACTTGTCCCTTGGCCACAAAGAAACCTCTGGCCAGGCTGCAGCATCCGAAAGCAGATGCTGAGTGAGGAGATTGCCAGCGTGGCCCGAGCGCCTATGAGCGGATGCAGCAGGTCTGACAGCGTGCTCACCCCACCTAGCTTTTTGTGGATTTTTATGTTGTAAGGAAGGTAGGTTTGGTTGTAAACTCGCTACCTGAGTTCCTGTACTTATGCGGTTTGGGACAATGTTGTTGTTAAGCAAGCACTCTCAGGAATGTATCTATGGTGATCGCAAGTTTTATGTTTCGGTACGCTCATGCGGCACGCACACAGCCCTTCTACAACCATGTCATCCATTGAAGTGCGGGTCCAGAGGCACATTTCGCGGGGCGAAGGGAACCCACCCGTGCTCAACAGTTTTTAGAACCATTGGAAATGGGAGTGGTGAGACCATCCCACTTTTGTGGGCTTGATTCACCCTTAGGTCAAAGGGGCAATTCAGCCCTCAGCTCCAGCTTCCCGGTTCAAGTTTCTTTGCCATTGTTGCAACCTTTCGGGGTGATAAGTGAGGTTCCTTGAGGCGATGTTAGGAGGGAATTGTTGGGGAACCCGATCTTCGCGCACAAAGCTTGGAGTGGACAAGCCGTCGAAGCAGCATAGGTCACAGGTGGTAGTTGAAACAGCATAGAAGAACTAAATGAAACAAACAACAACGCGTCCCCAGAAGTAGCTTTCCTATTTGATGTCCTTGCTGGCGTTCTTTAATTATCCCCTTTCGGTTATTATTTTTGCAGTGCATCGTGTGGCGTGGGCGTCAGAATGACTGGCGCAGCTACGCTCAGCTATGCAACAGGGTGACATGCCATAAGGCGAGACTCCCAGGGGACGAGACTTGGGTTTCAGGGGAAACTGATGCCGTGCGTGACGTGGAGCGAATCCCCTCCTCGAGTCAAAAGCCAGCGAAAAGGGTGTCCAGTTTTTTCATGGGCCAATTATTGGAAATGAAAGACCGGCATTACTTGTGGAATCTCCTGTTGGGCGTGCTCTCTCCGGCATCCCTGCCTTAGGTGAGCATCAAGGGCATTCCTACCTTCCGGCGCGGCGGCCAAGCCTGACGTTGCCGGGTTTTGGCGAGCGAGCTCTCGCTACGTCCGTGAGACACGGGGCCCTATCTGAGAAAATGACCGATCCCAGTTCCCAGTGGGTAATATGTGCGTATTTGTCAGAAAATTGGGACCCCCGAAATGGCCGTTTTCCTTCTGGCCCTGAAAACCTGATGGCAACCTCGACAAAAACACATTTGAGAACTCACCTTCGAGCGCCAAGGCCTGAGCGATTCGCATGGCCGCACCCAGTGGGTGTCATTGGTGCTGGGCTGAGTCGAGGTCAAAGAAACTTTCCGCCTCCAAACATGTGTAAGCATCCCCGATGTTCAGGGAGTCCCCGCATGCCCCCTTTCAGCGGCCAACAGAAACCCATGTGTTTGCACCTGTTTTGGGAGGCGTCCCTTAAGTATCCAAATGACAGTTCCTTTTTGTAAACCATGTCCACCAGTCGCAGAGTTTCTGCGCAGAACGTGGCCCTCGCGAGGCGTTGCGTTGGCGATTGGATCTTTAATATCCGAATCTCGCTCTTGGGCGCTAAATAGCCCATAGCCTCCAAAAGGAGACCCTCAAAGCGGGTTGGGTATTTCGTCAAGTCCACTCATTGCCACTTTCCCCTATAATTACCATCCATTCCTCAAATGCACGGTCATACAGGCCCCAGAAGCCCTGATTCCATTCGTGTTTTGGATTGGTTATTTGCTGATTCTTGAGGGTGAACGGGAGTTTGCGTCACACCTCCAAGCCACCCATCCAATCCTATTGGCGGAACCTGTGCCTTTGTTTGTGTTTGCATTGGCTTGTGGACATCATAGGCATAAGTAAACCGACGACATCCCAAGTGTCCGCCCGAACTCCAAACGACCCACAACACAAGCCCACCCAACCCACCCTAACCCTAAACCCCGGGGGGGGGGGGGGGGGGAATGATTTTTTGACTTTCTCCATGGATAATATGTTGGGTAGGCTTTGAGCAGAGAACCCCCAAGGGCGATCCAGCAAGGTTCTTCTCATGGCAACCCTTGCCCTGGGTGAACATGTGTCATCGGACGCATCTTTGCCCTGGACTAACATGATGATAGAAAGGATTGATAAGTTCGATCCTGTGCCCACATGCTACCTATCCACGCGCGCCTGAACGGCTCGCCCAACATGTCGTGCTATTCATTCCCAGGTGCAGGCTACAACGGCCTCAAGACCGCTATGATCTATGCGAAGGCTTCCAGTCCCCGACTAAACCTTATTTCAACAGGCTTGGCTCCCCTTTTTGTGCGATGTGATTTGGGGGTAATATTTCAATCAGAACTAGGACCCTCGGCCCTATCGGCGGGCAGGGCTCCCACACGCTTTTGCACAGCGCTTGCTGACAGGACGGCTCTCAAGATACGGATGCCCGACATTGCAAGTAACAACCATCAGACCACCGCCGCGCCCTTGCTACCCTTGATTGCTGTACTTGTAACATTTTGGGTATTCAGCGGGGTTTTGACCAAGCTTTTCAGTGGAACCCCTTCTTCCGCCTTTTGTTGGTGGGTTCGGGGTGCTCATGGCCCGAGTTCCTGGACTAGAGTCACTTGTTGAGTCTGGACACGTCTGGACCATTCTAGTGGCAAACGAACAGCTACTAGATGTTTGTTGGCGGCTTCCATTTGTTTCCACCTTGCGGGTCACTGTCTGCAACTTGAGCCCAATCCCGCCTGCAATCATGTCTCCCGATACTTCCAGCCTTAAAGGCTGGCTTGAAAGGTCGCCTTTTGGGCCAATGAAATCGCCAGACTTTTGCTGTTTTGACCTTTGGGTTCCTTCGTTTTCCCTCAGCAAAAAGGAAGGAGCAGCTGTTTGCAGAAGGCCTAAGGTCAGGCCCGGGAGCTCTGTCAAGGCTGGCAACGAGAACTTTGTGGTCTTCGACCGCAACGACAAGGCTCTCAGAGGGTTTTTCTTCGTTTGCCGCGAAGAAAGCGCCATTGTTCCACACATTGGGCAGGACAATGGGCGGCCACAATGGTACTTCCCAACCAAAAGGGAAGTGGCGAAACATGGCGTGGTGTGTGTGTGTGTGTAACTAGATTGATGCAATACGGTTCCAAGTGTTTTCGCGCATGCATGAACATGAAAAATGAGATGGGCGCGCTCAATCTATTCGCTGCGCATGCTTCATTTAGGAATCAAGGCCCACTCGGGGATCGCAGTCTAACCAATGAGTTAGCAACTCAAAATGGGAATGCTAACCCAGGCACGAGGTACATAAGGCGTCAAGGTATTCAGTAATTATGTTTTCATGGCACGTAAGGTGGCAAGCCTTCATTTGTCTTGAGGG